TTTAGCTAGGGTCTATTAACCTTGCTAATAAATTAAACTCTCAAAATTTATGATGTTAATAATCTTTTAATCAAACTTTTTACACGAGAGAAAAATGGAAACGTTTTCTACAATCTCAAACCGAAACTTAAAATATTTAAAATTGAATTTTCCTTTTTAAATTCAATAAAAGCATAGCCTACTGTGTCGCCACAGTACCCCCCTCCTAGCGACGGAGTTCGGGCGACGACGCGCTACACATGAAGAGAAGTTACTCGCGGTAGTCACACAACTTCGCTGGGAAATGCACTGTTCGGCCAGAACGCGAAACCTTTGAAGAAACGGCCGACGGTTTAAGAACCTTCTTCTCGGATGCTTGTTTCCGCTCATGATTGACTAAAGGAAGTGGCGAAAACTGCTTGCCGGTAAGTTCATCGTTAGTCAAATAAGCTGGTTTTAATCTGTCTAACGAGACGGTGCACCTGCTCCCTCTTCTGTTAATTACGAAATATTTTTCATCTCGTTGAAGAACTTGAAACGGACCTTCATACGGCTGTTCCAATGGAGCTCTCACCCGATCGACACGCACGAACACAAACTTGCTGGTTAGGAGGTCATTCGGAACATAGACTGGGTGATGCCCGTGTCTGCTGCCGTTGATTGTCTTCAGTTGAGCCAATGCATTACGAAGTGATGAAACGAAATCGGTTTCACCTGGCTTTTGGCATTTCTGTGACAACAGCTGTCCTGGAACACGTAACGGGTTTCCGTACAACATTTCAGCGGAACTGACGCCTAGATCTTCCTTTGGGGAAGTCCGTAACCCGAGCAGAATCAATGGGAGTGTGCGCGTCCAGTCATTAGAATTATGGCATCGCAAAGCAGCCTTCAACGTCCTATGCATACGTTCAACCATCCCATTCGCTTGGGGGTGATATGCTGTGGTGTGAATATGCTTGATACCCAATAGTCTGGACAACTCTCGGAAGATCGTTGATTCAAACTGACGTCCTAAATCAGTCGTGATAATATGAGGAACACCATACTGTGCTACCCATCCTTCGATAAACGCGCCGGCAATGACTTCGGTCGTCATGTCTGAAACAGGAATCACCACGGGCCATCGTGAAAACGATCGATGCACGTCACACAGTATCTTTTACCCTGCGACAGTGGTAGTGGTCCGATGATGTCCATATGGACATGTTGGAAACGCTCGTCTACGCCTGCGAAACAGCCTAAAGGTGACTTGGTGTGTCGGTTAACTTTAGACAATTGGCAAGCGATACAGGATTTAAAAAACTTTGACGTGCAGGCTGGTCGTATGCCTCGTTGGCGGCCGCGCCATGTCATAGTGATTGAGAGTGGAGAGCGTTGATGAGATTTGATGAAGTCGTCAGCTTGAGAAAATAACTTTGATCTGTAGGCTGGCCTCATGCCTCGTTGGCGGCCGCGCCGTATCAAAGTGGTTGTAAGTTGTTGCTGCTGCTGTTGCTGCTTCATTTCAGGTGTGCGTGGCGCTATGGCAACGTGTTTCTTAGCCGGTGATTTGTTAGTGGAGGATGCAGTGTAATTATTGCTTGTCGTTTTTCGCAGATTTGGTGCCAGCTGTGCAATTTTCGTGGGTTTGCTACGCTCAATTTTCTTCATTGCTGGTATTGGCATCGTATTAGCGGGGGTGAGTGTAGGTGGTGTGATAATTGCAGTAGGTAATTTTGAAAAACGTAACCGTTTGTTCAGATCACGTCGGGTGCGCGTTAAGATCACGTCGGCTGCGCGTTAAGATCACGTCGGCTGCGCGTTAAGATCACGTCGGCTGCACGTTAAGATCACGTCGGGGTCACCAATTTAGCTAGGGTCTATTAACCTTGCTAATAAATAAAACTCTCAAAATTTATGATGTTAATAATCTTTTAATCAAACTTTTTACACGAGAGAAAAATGGAAACGTTTTCCACCATCTCAAACCCGAAAACTTTTTAATATTTAAAATTGAATTTTCCTTTTTAAATTCAATAAAAGCATAGCCTACTGGGTCGCCACACATATATATAAGGCAACACACCAGGAATTATTATAAGAAGAACCCCATTAAAGGTTTACCTATCTCTCGAATATACCTTTATTCAACTAATGTGGCATCTCAAATTTTGGATATGAAAAATTTACTGATTGAGTTCACAAAAAAAAGGTAGTACTAAATAGATATATATTTTAAAATTATTTCTATTTACTTAATCCAACTCTATGTTATGTCCACGATTCTTTCAAAAGCGCTCAAGATAAAAAATTAACACCTTTCGAAACAAAGGTCTGAGTGGAATTTCTTTTCAAGAGGCAAAGAAAACATCAATTTAAAGCTGTAGAATGTTGAAAATAATTATAAGAAGAAGAATAAATATATACAAAACCCTCGATTGTTACTTGTCTACTCTAAACTCTGCGGAAAAACAAGATATAAAAACTTTTTACAAAATACATTCTTACCTTCATTAACAATTCACTGAGTACTACAAATTTTTCTATAATAATCACTTATAAAATTTAAACTCAAGAGATATACCGCACTAGATATATCTACACAAAATATATATGTAGTAAACTGCACAAGAGTTTCAGATAAAATTTTATAAATTTTTATTTGATTTGATATGTAAGGTTAAAAATTCAAAATTTATGATTGAAAATAATTCAAAGCTAACTACAGAATTTTTCGAAATATTGAATCTAATACGGTATTATTCCTTTCGAACTTGAAAATCGCAGAAGTTGAAAATTTCATTCCAGGATCATATGGCTGCATTGTTAATAAGTCTAAATTGGATAGAAATACAGGAAATTAGTGGAATGTTCCTACTTAAATATATTCACAATTATACTTGTATATTTTTATCTCTAAAAATGTTATACTCACAAAACTGTGGTAGAAATTCATGACATGAAGCTACACTGAAGTACAATATATGAAGGTAAGTTTTGCTAGTCTTTCAAAGATATCACAAAATTAATAATATAATAAACGACCGTGAAATAAAATTGGAAGTGCCCTATCCTCAAGATTCTCTATTTTTTGAAGACTGAACAGATATGAATATATATGAAGAGTTTGTTAGATTAAAAATCTTCTGGAAAAGTATCAACGGCACACAGTGCGCCAAAACAGCAGTTCTTGATTAGCAGATCAAAATTTTGTACGATTAGAGAATTAAAATGAAAAAAAAATAAATTAAATTAAATAAAAATTAGAGATATTAAAATTAAATTTTTCTACAGCTTTGTTGGCCTTTCCTTTGAATCTAAAGCCAAATCGGCTTATGGAAACCTTCTGCAAATTTAAAGACAAAAATTATACATTTTCAAATTTTTTAGTGACCTCGAAAATTATGACAGATAAAAAGTTAATGTACTTCATCGGTAGACGAACACCGATTAACAAATAAGCAAGCAAACATATTTTCGTAGAAACTTAAAAATATATAAATTAATTAGATATTTCATATGTTGGCATAAGTACTTTGCCAAGTATATAATACTAAGAGAACAAAGTTTAAACTTAACAAACGTAAATAAAAGAAGAAATTTCAAGTAAAATGTATAACCTCCTTTGGCTTCAATAACTTTTTAAAGGCGTCTCCGTACTGAATTTACTAAATTTTGAAGAACCTCTAAAGATATTCCTTTCCTCTTCTCCTCTTTGGTTTTATTTAACAAAACTGTTCTCTTTCGTTTCAAAACCAGAAGTTTTAACCAGACGTATTCTATAATATTTAAATCTGGACTTTGAGGTAACTAGTTTAAAGTAGTAACACTAACATCCTTCAAAAAATTAGTTACCATCCGGGCTTTGTAAAATTGGGCATTATCCTGTTCCAGGATAAGTGATGCTCTAATAAACTTATTTCTGGAAGGAAAGGTATATTCATTTAGGGTAGTGAAATATTAACCTTGGTTCATCGAATCCATTATATGAAAAACATCCCCACAACATGAAAGAACCCGTTGAAAAACGAGACGTCTTCTTCGCATTTGCACCTTTGGAAATCCCACAAAAAAATGTGTTTTTGATAAATTATATTCAAAGGAATTTTCTACTGTTGTTTACTGAATTTTTTTCCAGAATTCTTTAGCGAAGACCAGTCTTTTAAGCTTGTTTGTCTTTGATATGTACGGCACGTCCTTAGGTTTTATTCTCTTATAATCTCCTTTATTTAAATGTCGTCGGACAGTGCGCACACTAATTGGATTCTTGACCGTCAAATTACATTCCAGATTAAGGCTTCCAAAAAATATTTTTTTTTTAATTTTCCTTAGAAGGACTCGGTCTTCAATGGGCGTTGTTTTACTCTTAGCACCTCATATTGTTAAGTTTCTTATGTCATTATGCTTTTTAAACTTATTTATTTGACGGTGTACAGTTTGTCGTGACATCCTAAATTCTTTTGTTATATCTTTTACTGCTGTTCATGTACAAATCTTTATTAAAAAATAATAATGCAATAATGCAATTATTTAGAAATTATTGACTTCAGTCATATGCTATTCCATAGCTAACTTTCAGAAACATGCACTTTTTTATTTCAAATAGTTTCACATTTTCTCCGAACTTTTGATTAAATACGGTAAGAATAAAGTCAGTCATATAGACTCATATAAAAACTTTTATCTTATATATTAAAACGTACAGTGTGTTGAGTTGCATGAAGATATGTGTATATTTGTATGTAATTGTTAATTTAATAGTAATAATTTTCATCAAACCCTAGAATTTTTGCTTTGTACTACTCAACACCATATATAAAACCGAAATCATTGTTTGCTTCTAACTGCTATTTTTCGTAAGGTGTTGTAAACGGTCCAAAAACTCTATCAAAAAGTCCTTGTTTTCGTAATCTAAGATGATATGTTGGAAAGTCTCATTATTTTGTAACCAATCCTGCACAAGATGTTCATTTGTCAACGCCGAATTTGAGTTAACTGAAATCGCCGAGACATCTCCAGAACCATCAGTATCGACTTTAATATCTGAATTAGGAGCACCAACGTCAATATCTAAGAAGTCAGAGCCTTCTGTGACGCCAGTCGCAAGGTCATCCTCAGAGGTGCTACTCGGAGATGAGCTAGCCACGGACACCGTTTTCTGATGTTTCATAGTTTGGAATTTTGTAAATTTTGGTCTAATGAATTTCTAAATTTTGTTTTCAAATTTTTTCTGACTTTACAATTTGAAATAATTTACAGAATAATAAAAATATCAACGAAGATGTGATTAAATATTTCTGTTATTTTTGGATTGTAATTTTTGTATTGTTGATTATTTACAAATCGGAAGATTGAGGATAGAGTTCGATTAAGTTCTATATTCAGATTATTTAAAGCATGATAAATTATACAAATTGTGTATTTACATCTCTAACTTTTAGAAGGGAACGTAATATAAAAAACTTATTTTTATGTATAATAATGACTGAAAAATCGTTTTGCTTTTTACATATGTTCTTGAGTTATAACAGATATACTCTCGGGCTATAAAATAAGGCAGCAACTTGGATATAGTTTATTATTTGTATGTTTTTTGGAAATTCGAATTTTCGAAATTTGATGAGTTATGCAGTCCTTGTGGTCTTAAGCGAGTTGTTTGAAGTAAATTTGGACTAGCATTGCAGTCGCTTCTAAAGTAAAGTAAAGCAAGTAATATGTGGATCATAGAGTTGTTAATATATTATGTAGTGAGTAAATATTTTAAAAGTATTTAAAACAAATTTTTTTTCAGCTACTTAATATGAGTGTACAAATTAAAACTGTTAAAAGTGTGGGCATAGGCGAGCCGATAAGCAGATCATAGTATATGATTCTCTGTCAATCCCATCAAACGAAAAGCAAAACCTTTATGGCCGTCAATCATGATTTAGCCACCATTTTGACCAGCTTATCGATATTCGACCACAATCGCTTTCGTTTGACGTTGTCCACTTTTCATTACCGGTTAACAACCGCTTCAGAAATGTAAGTTGGGTTGATTTTCCAACCTAATTTTAATGGTTCTAAAGGTGTAATGATTCTTAATGCAATATTTAGCTCTTTGGCAATCGAAACAGT